GCAAATCGATGTTATGCGAATGTTGTCAACTGACGATCAGCTGTCAAAAATGCCGGAAGAATGTGAGCGACTGCACAATAGCGATCATATGAAACACAAAATGCTTTCTACTTGGAGCTGATGATGAACAAAATCATCAGCAGCTTGCGATAATATCGGCGCATTGTGAAATTACCGAAATCATGCAGTTTGTATGCTTATGTGTGTGCGTTTATGCGTGTGTGAGTATGTATGTGCCTATTTGTATGTCTGATTACATGAACACTGAAAGGAAGAAAGCATAAAGCGATTGTTCTTGAGCTTGAAAATTTGAATCGGTTGAATTTTTTTGGCTGCAATGAAAAACATCTCTTTTGTCTTCTTTTCTTAAAAATTTGCCCAGCTAAAGGAATCTGTTGGATATGGTTGCAAAGAGCAAACAAAGCGAAAAGCGATATTTCAAAACGCACTTTCATCGATAATAGTCCTACAGAGCCACCTGACAACGACTTCAAAATTTGAGCGCCATTGTCCATTCCCATAGAAAAGTCGAAGAAATTAGACGGTCGCTTAAGTGTTCCGTTTTTTTTTTGCATCAAAAGCCATGTTACACATTTGAATTTCAAAAAAAACATGGTCAGGCACATCTCTAGAGCTGCTTTTACTAATTAATTTGTAAATCAAATTTTCGACGTGTAATCACCAATTTAGAAATACATAATATTCATCACATATGTTTTTCTCCTGACTGCCATATTTGGAACACTGGAACAGACACTACTGTGAGAATCGACTGAGAAATACTGCAGATCGTGGCGGGCAAGGGCAGTAGGCAGCATCGTTTCCAGGAAGACCTGGTCCGCCAGGAGCACCTGGATGTCCATCAGGCCCTGGTTGACCCGGGTTGCCAGCAGGTCCCGGTGATCCCGGTGGCCCTTGTAATCCGTCTTTTCCTCTTTGTCCATCAGGTCCAGGATATCCGGCAGGTCCTGGTGTGCCTGGTGCACCTTTTGGTCCTCGTTTTCCTCTTCCACGAGATCCATTCTCGCCAGGAGGACCAGGTGGGCCAACAATTCCAGGCGCTCCCGGTAGTCCTGCATTTCCGATCGCTCCTGGGGGCCCAGGAGGTCCGGGATGACCAATTCGTCCCGGCTGCCCTGGCAACCCAACTGGACCAGGAGGTCCTGAAGGTCCATCAGGGCCAGGACGTCCAGGTGGGCCAGCTGGACATTTGATGCATGACGTGTCCTGCGGAGGGCATGTTACTGGCGGATAAGTAACAGTGTTGTCTTCTCCGGGTGGTCCAGGAAGACCGGGCTCTGAAATGAAAAATATGATAACTAGGTTGCTGCAAATTTTCGTTTCTTAAGACAAATGAAGCGAATTTTGCTAATAGCTAATGGAAGGAAAAAAATACTGACGTCCGTACTGGCCAGGAGGACCTGGAGGTCCAGCTGGTCCTGGAGGGCACTTTGGCTTTGGCGGTTCGCATATGCAGTATGATGGCAGCCCCGAGAAATCCTCACGCTTTCGTCGAAATATGCTGTTGAAAGGATTTTCACGAGGTCGACTAGGCGGAGCAAAACTAATTTGAATATCCATCATTTCAGACCATGCGGAGTCCGTTTCAACACGAAAAACCTAAACAAAATAATTTATGCTAATTTCATCCATCCTTCCACGCCACTTTCACTTCTCTACCTTCTCCCCCTCTCATTGGGGCTGTTACTTACATTTGGAAAAGAAACAAGGTAACGACTGTATGACTTCCTCTTCAAAGCAAACTATCCATCGACGGTAAATTCTAGCCTTCAACAAATCGTTTCAGTCGCACCCTGACATCCTTAACGGGGCCCAAATCATATCAAGCTTGTTTGTTCCTGGAGCGAAGAACGATGAGGGGCTGATGTAGCCGGCAAAAGCACAGTCACTAATCCTTCCACTTTTTAAGAAATAAATATCAACGCTGCAGAGGAAAAAAATTTGTCATACATGCTGAATATCCTGATTATGATGTATCTGTCGGGCACACGGTCCCATACCTAACGGCTCAGGAAGACTTGAAGATTAATTTTACTTATTTTATTAAGGTATGCTTACAAAATTCGAGCACTTAGCTTTAGATTTCATAATTTAGGAATTAACATCGCTTACTATAATTTTTATGCGTTTTTTGCAGTAATGCAACGCAGAAAAAGCATATTGACGAGAGGCTGTCTGTCTGTGTATGTGTCTATATGTGCACTGGGTCTCAGTACTGATTTTTCATCTCGAGACCTACAAA